CACAACTTTATAAAATATAACAACGCCCATGCCAGAGAAAATACAGCAGTTAGTAATTTGAAAGGCTTACCAAGACAAGGCGGAAGTAGTCAATCTACCGCTTTTGATGTCAGAAACAAACTTGCTCTGTTTTTTGATTCACCTGCAGGAGCAATGTAAACAATAATAATGTTTTTTCTTAAATACATTTCTATTTACCTCTTACTTGAAGTTTTTTTGCTATTTCTTTCCACGCGTCATCTTTTCGTTGATTGTCACTGTACCTGCGATCACTTAAATCATAAAGAAATGTATATTCCCGAACTAATTCAATTAATTTCTCTTGATTCATCATTTTAAACAAGCAATGTCTGTGCATGTCGACGATGGCGTTCATACTAACCGCGCCGACTCCCACAGACATGTACAGACACGCGCCGGCACAGACAAAACATTCTCGCAGACAATGCCGGCCGGTGCCGGCCCGTGTCTGTGCGGACACGATCCGCTCACGCGCGGTATATGTAAATACGCCCATAGAAAATGTATGTAATAATATTTTTATGTCTGTGCTGTTACGTGTCTGCCACGTACGGTGTCTGTAGATATGAATGAAGCTTTATTCGTGTACGCACCAGACGGAAAAACAAAAAATATCGTGTATTCACAAGCGCTCCAATAAATAAATAAATAGAATTGAAACGACACTTTGAAATGTTTTCCCGATGAAAATGAATAATAATAAGTTTCAATAAAAATGAGGTTAAAGTCCAGTTATGTGGACTGTCATGGCGGAACTTCCTGTTTTCCGACTGCCAACCTCGACACCGGAGCGGTTTGGAGACGAGAGATGTCACGTGACGACACGAGCGAACGGCGGCGGACGCGGAGCCGCCGCGATAAACGGGAAAACCGACACGCGGGTTAAAGTCCATATACGTAGACTGTCATGGCGGCTCATCTCTGATTCCGGAAAAGAAAAGGAAACAGTGGAGACGCACGTTCTAACCTAACCTAACCTATTCTAATATATTACCACAATTATTACCAATTAAATTATTAGAATAGGTTAGGTTAGAACGTGCGTCCCCACTGTTTCCTTTTGCTTGCTCGTCGCGCCGCTTGCTTGCTATCAGAACACGCGCAGGCGCTCGCGTCGTCACGTGACACCTCTCCAAACCGCTCCGGTGTCGAGGCTGGCAGTCGGAAAACAGGAAGTGCCGCCATGACAGTCCACATAACTGGACTTTAACCCAAAATGATAAAATGTGAATTGAATTTTATCATAACGAGTTTGCTTGAATTTCCTTTCTTCTGAGATCACAGCAATGCGCGACGGGTAAGCTAGTTTTACATAAGATCTGCTAACTTTGTATTTATAATCCTCAGGAATAGAAATTTTTTAAAATTTTTCATCTAATTCTTCATCTACAGCAATTTCGTTCATTAATTGAACACATTCGTGTGGTTTAAGTGTTTTATTGTCTTTCAAAGTTAATTAATGATATTACTGGAATGCTAACTTTTGCTTCTTTTTGTTTCTCATTATACTTCTTTGCCAAAGCATTATGTTCATTACGTTCTTTTTTATATGACTTTTCTAATTTACTAATTATATTTTTATATTTTTTTTGTATTGAGTTACTCAACATTATACCTTTTTACAATCTGATTCACACATTTTAGAAAAGAAAATAAATAGTGAGGCTAAGAAGACTGAACCGAATATGAACAGTGTGTGTGATAATTCAGAGGGTTTTCATAACTTTTCAGGTGCTGAGAATAATAAGGTTTATATTGATATGCTTAATAAGTTTAAATCAATCTGTGTCACTGCTCAAGATCTGGAAGAGATTTCAAAGCCCTCAAAACAACAAAATTAACTTATCCTGAAAAAGTAAAGTGGATTGAGGCAGCTTTGAAAAGCTCAATCCTGAAAGGTTTTCAAATTAAGTGTATTATAGATGTCTTGCTGCAGAGGATGAGGAGCTATATGCTCCAAAGGACTGTAAAAAAAATACCCTAGGTTTTGATAAAACCTTACTCTAAACAGAATTTTAAAAGTGCACAATTTTCCCAAATCTTATAATGGAAAGAATAGAATAAGTGATGAAAAACTGTGCACTTTTGAAAAAGGCCTGTAGAGTACACACTCAGTATAATACGAATTAAAAGACAAGAATAATATATTCTATTTTATAAATATAATCTTAAACTCAATTTACTTTTGCAGTCTGGATCAAAATAACCAAACTTTACAGTATACAATGACATAAAAGGCATACTGAATGTACAGTACATGAATGTTGTGTAATATCAATATATGCATTTGATAGAAATTGATTTTCTTTTTTATTATTAATATAGGTCATCTCACGAAAATGGCATGCTGGAGTTTGATTGATTTTGAACCGACCGAAATGCCTGGATGGAGGACATCAAAAAAGGAAAACTCCACACCTGTTATAAGCACACTTAAAACATCTGTAATGCTGCAACAAATCGTGAAGTTCCAGGCAAAGTACATGACAACCAACGTCAATCATCAATGCAGTTTTGAGGAATTGGTCAGATTTGTTCAAATCATCTGCAAAGAAGAACACGTTGGAACCTACGAGAATGAGAATAAAACCAAAGATATCATCTCGAAGGTAATGGCAGCCGACAACAATCCGATTCGTCTAACTTCGAGAAAAGAAGTTGAAACTGCCAATGTTGCCAAAGCTGTTTTGACGCTTCAAAATAGAGTGAACGAGGAAAAGGATGATTGTAAAGGACTCCTGGAAATAGATGAATGCATCTTAGGAATCCACCGTATATTGCTGACAGGTCTGGATGATCAACTGATGACTCCTGCCGGGAAGTTCTCACAGTTCCTTCGAAGTGCAGAGTATAATGGAGAGGTACATTTTTATCCCCGTTTTGGATCTCAAGAAGAAGCGAGGGATGCCGTTCAACTTTGCCTCGATCGTTATAACGAACTTTTCAGTGAGATCTCGAAACAAAAGAAACAGAACCTTCACTTGTTCGTTAGTCAAATTTTCAAACTTAGTTCATATCTGTTGTTCACTTTGATATCTTTGCATCCATTTGGGGACGGGAACGGCCGTCTCTGCCGACTGTTGGCAAACTATTGCTTGTCTACGATGACCCCGTTTCCATCTCCAATTTATAACGTGTACACTCCGTCCATGCATGAAGATTTTTTGAATTCGATTATTACTTGCAGGAACTCTAACGACAAGAAGCCTCGCGATTTATGTGCCTTAATAATTGAAGCAAACTATGCCAGTTGGTTGGATTACATTAAGACTAATAAAGTTTTGACCTAAGTACTTGTTACTGTTGATAATAAAGATCAAATTTAGTTACTATTTTTTAATATATTGACAAAGTATTCATATAAATAAATATATTTTTATAGCTAATATGTTGTCCTTGTACCTTTTTTTTGAGTCAACTCAGTACAGGAAGAAACTAAAGTATATTATGTTAAAGATAGGCCTCGGAGTCACTGTTTTCTGAAGTATCCTCATATTTCAGGTCATTTCCACATGCTTAATTAGGAAGATGTGAGAACAATCAAAAGTGATTTTAAAGCCAAACAACCTGCCGGACTATCGGAGTAAAATTTTCTGGAAGAAAATAGTCTGCTATGAGTGGGACTCAAAGCCGCAGCTGCCGCTCAGTGTTAGGTTATAGNATAATAAATTTATTATATTCTTTATTATACTTAAAATTTTTTTTGATGTTATTGCATCACTTTACGAAGTGTCTATATACGTAATTGCATCAGTTTTAGAACCTATTTAATTAGTTTCAATCGCGACAGAAAATGATATAGATGATTGTTTCTTTTAAACGATTTGATCGAAAAGTTACATAAAATTGGGGTTGCGTAATCATCCGAAATTATTATTATTATTATATTTTCGACTGAAAATCACTGGATTTATGCAATTTTTGTTTAATTAATGTCGTATAAAACAGACTGCTCGTACAAGTTTGCTTAAAAACATGCGACTCAAAATACCCCAAAATGGCGGCTCAATAAGTAGGTCATGCGTGTCCTGACCTTTTTATACAGACCTTGTCGCCAACCAAACGGCCCACTGACAGTACCAGGGGGAGGACACTCTTATGGGAATTTTTGTGATAGTTTTTTTAACTCTCTAGTTGGTGGATGATACACTTGTTAATTAAAGCTAAAGTTAGTTGAAAGAAAAAATGAGGGATTTCTTCCTATTATTATTAGAAAAGTGGTCTTAGCATTAGAAAAATCAGAAAATATACAAGCCAAAAAATTCAATGATGTTGTGTACACATTTTATCAAACGTGCATAGATTATCTAAATGATTGGGACATGTTTTTTATTGAAATAGAGGTGTTTGAATGGGTCACATTATGTAAAATCCCTTTGTGGGCGAAGGTAGAGGAAAGCTATATCTTTATTTCGAATCATTGGTCCGTAAATATACTCGACGGTGAATTATTTTATGAAGTTTCATGTGTAAAAAAATATGTCACAAACGAAAAGATCGACGAATGGTGACAGAATAACCAGCCCTGCCATCAAAGGTGGATTGAGATTTTTGAACATTTTACAGCAGAAGAAATTGTTTTCAAAAACGTTTGTAAAATCGTAGAATTTTTTTGTCTTCCTGGATCTAATGCCCCCGTTGAACGAATATTTTCATTGCTGAATAATATGCGGACGAATGAAAAAACCCATTCAAAAGTAAGCACATTAGAAGCATGTACAGGTATACCTCGCCTTACGTCGGTAATTGGTTCCAGGAAAACGACTTAAGTCGAAAAACGACGTAAGTCGAATTTACTTGTCTCCGAATATACTTGTCACTAGGAAAAACCATAAATTACTATTCCCAGTTCTGTATTTTATTTATTAATGCATTTTCAATAATATATGGTTAATAAGAATCTATTTTAAGCTCACAAACAAATAAATTTTAGTTTTTAATAGGATACAGAAAAAAGTAATCTAAATTTACGAATGCATGTACTATACTGTAAATACAGTACATACTTGTAAATGTATATATTTTAGTATGATTTTATGTGCTTTAAACGCTTTTCTAGTGATATTACGACTTCAATATTTGTGGCGGACGGACGTAAAGTCGAATAAAATGACTTAAACTTGATTTTTATTTTTCCATAT